AGCTGTTTTTCTAATGCACTTTGTTTCCTATCCTGCCAAAGGCTGTCCCTCTTACCTCTGTTTTAACTGGAAAAGGATTTCCACCCCATGGCCCTGATTCTGGCTGAATTAATGGTTTTTGAACTGAATCAGCACATTTGAAGTTAAAACAGATCCCCACTGAGTCTGTACATTTTTATTACTGTGCAAGGAGTGCTTAGGAAAATAAAAGGAACAAGAAAGCCCTGAGAGTGGACCACCCCGTTGAGGGGGGAAATATAGAAATCAAGCATGTTTCTATGAGTGATATTTATAGGGTCAAGTGACATATATAGTACGAGGCCTCGGAGCCCATCTCAGGAATACCACATACCAGTCTGGGCACTCACACTCAAGAAAATTTAATTGAAATTGAAGCAGGTGCAGAGGAGGTCTACCACGCTGGAGTGGGAAATGGAAAGATAAAGTGGTAAGGAAACACAAGAAAAAATGGCTTGTTTAGGCCACCAAAGCAAAGATGAAAAAAATGATCAGAATCTGAGAACTGCCTATAAATACACCAAGGGAGGGAAAGAAACCAACAAGTTAAATCAAAGGATCGTTTTCCCAGAATAAATTAGTGTAAACTAGCTATGAATACATTTTATCTGGGAATTAGGGGTTTTCCCATCTATTGAGCAGAGAAGAGCTGAAGAAGCCTTATGCTTGGGTTAGCATGGGCAAGTGAAGAGACATAATTGAAGATGAAGGTTGATAAATTTACTGGGGTGTTGGAGAGGAAATTTTATTACAAGATGGAGGAGTATGGCTCAGTATCCCTGGGACTCCTTTCCTGACCTATACTCCTACATGTGGATTGCTGTTATAATCTGAAATCCTCTTTTGCCTTTCCTTTGTTAAGGACATCAGCACCTTTAAAATCTCCTGTCATTGTCACCCAAGAGCGCTGGGCTGCATCTGCAAAGCTCCCAGCCCCACAGAGCTGCTCTTGCTCCCAAATTCATCAAGGGGGTCACTGTCAAACAATGAGACACACTTAACTCCCACCGGGTTTGAATGAGCTGCTTCCTTTCAAAACACCCTTTAATTGACAGCTAGAAATAGCTTTCCATGATGACAAGCTGTCATTAATATCATTCACCAGAATGATACCCCAGTGATAGTCTATGAGTTTAGAGGAAAAGGGAGAGAGAAATCCTCTGCAAACAAATGTTTCAACAGAATACACGAACTGAGCTGTGGTTTCAAGAATGACAACATGAATATAAAAATGTACATTGTGAATATTAGTATTCCCTTAAATATGTGCTCATGTTGGTTAATGAGTCCCACCGGTGGCGTTAGTAACTGAAGGATTTGGGTTGGCACGTTATTAACTTGTTAAGTAGAAAACAGTGATACAAAACTACTTGTCATGTGCATTATAAGACATTTAAAAGTTGCACTCAGCATAAGCAGCTGAACAGAACTAAAGGAGTCGCCTTTAAAATGAGCTGATGTTTCTTTGTGACACAATCATGTAAAATCCCATTGCTTTAAAAGGAGCTGTGCTCCATGGGCCCTGGAAAAGGAGGTAGTGGGAGCTGGGGTTTGAGGAGTGGCTGGGGCAGTTGGCAGGACTCTTCTTCCTCCTCTGTGCTAAACAGGCAGTGACTTGATACTTCATCCTGGGCTGGGATGAGCTCATCCCTTTATTCACTCAGAGCTGCCACATTGGGTCAGGGGGATTTATTCTGTGTTTTCTGCCTTCCCCTGCCCCACCAGTTTGCTGCCCTCTTGTAAAGCTCTGTCCCTCTGTCAGCCCAGTGGTGGCTGCACATCTGTGCTGAATGAAATGATGCCTTGTTAAGAAACTGTTGGGCTTCTAAAACAAGTAAAATTGACAGGTAACTGTAGACCAGGTTGCTGCATCTGCTGGCAGCAGCAGAGGGATCCAGCCATAGGAGAGAGGGGCACAGCTGGAAGTTTTGAGCTGACCTTTCCACCCAGGGTTTGAAAATAGTCCTTCATGTAAATCAGGACAGACCAGACACTGCCCTAGCATGGACCCTATTTCCTCTGGGCTGCTTCTAGCCATCTGAAAACCTCTAAAGTAGGGCAAGCAATTAAGATACCAGAGCAGCTCCTGAAACACATTCACTTGCTCTTGGACAGACAGAGGGATGGTTCTGTTGGTCCTGAGGCTGTCATGGGCTGTGCTACCTGGAATAAATAAGGTGACCCTGATGAGCAACCATCAGCCCTTTTGGCCACTTTTCCCCATCTGCACAACCCAGTTTCTCAGCATTCCTTGCTCAGGGCTCCATGGCAATTGTTCACCTTTACATTTCCTAGCTCTGCCACTGACAGAGTCCCTTGGGGAGGGGAGCTGTTCCCAGTGATGATGCTACAGGGCCCATGTGCATTGATGGGCAAGCCACAGGATATCTATTGATCACCCTCATTCATTTTTCCAGAAGGCTGGAGTGAGCCAGATTAATCTGTAGGTGACGTTTTCAGTGGCCTGCAGTGTTCATTTGAGGCATGCACGCCCACATAAGACAGGCTCAGATATGAACAATACAGGAACAGTGACAATATTTCATAAAACACGGCTCTCTTCAAACTGGTTTGAGTACCTTCTTCAACAGCTGATAGCTGTGCCAGAAAAAAGGCCCTCTTTGAAAATGCAGTTGCCGAAGGGAATCTCATTGTTGTCCTGCAGTCTTTGGAGGACAACTTGTATGGATCTCGCAAGGGTCACTGAGGCTGGCAGAAGCCAAGTTGTGGCCTCTGGTTGTTGCAGAAAACTCAGCTGGGAAAAGGGGTTCCCCCCAAAAAAACCTGGGCAGGATGAAATCTCCTGCCTGCTGTGCTGCTTGGCAAACCCCTGAAACAGCACAAGGCTTGGTGAAAAAAGGACATGCACACATCTATGAGCCATTCATTGTTTGTCTAGACTGAGGAATTATTTTTTACTGCTAGATGCAGAGGTCAGCAGTGGAAAGGCCTCCTTTCTTTCATCCTCCTAGAAACACAGGCAGGCTGTGAGCCCTAAATTTCAAGCCTTGGGCTTGCAGTGTAATTCAAGCATGTCTCAGCCAGTTTCCATCCCAGGTAAGGAGGAGCAGGGACAGATTGCTCAAAGAATGCCACAGCACAAAGGCCTTCAATTCACTCTCCTGGGCTCCTGGCAAACCATACATCAGTCACCAAAGACTTGACAAATCACAGCGATACAGCTAAGCTTAGAAGTAAAATTTCACATTATCCTTGCTTATGTGGGTGGGAGGCTGAGAGATGCCAAATCTAAGAGGGCTTAAAGGAACTCTTTCTATTATTAAATGGTTTGCTGTTGGTATTTTTATAGTTCTGACATGCTACTTTCACGATTCAGGCTCCCAAGTTCAAGGCCTCATACAAACAGAGCAAAAGGATAAATCCAGTCTGAAGAGCTGGCAACTCAGTTCAAGGCAGGAGCACCAGGCAGATTTGGTCAGGCAGCTGTGGAAGTGTGGGCAGCCCATCCTGAGTAGAGCATCAGTCAGTGATCTCTGCACTCCAGTGCTTACCTTTGTCTAGTACTTTAAGGCATTAAGCCAGAGAAGGCTTTAAGGGATGATTTGAAGAGAGCAGCAAGATGATAGAGAGGTAGGACTGCTCAGGGCAAAGGATGGGTGAGGATCCTTCACAGCCCTATTTGTGCAAGTCCGTGCTCTGAGTTTCCTCACCGCACACGTGGTGGGTATCAGGGATGAGCCAAGGAGCTGCTGTATTGAAATGTGGAGCTGTGAGTTAATGTGGGAGCAAGGAAGGAAGCGGTGCAGGAATAGCCCCAGCTAGAACACTTGACATTGCAGCTGAGCTTTCCAAGAGTTACGGATGCGTCAAGTAGGTTAAAGACTGGGTATCATTGGAGGTAAGAACATGGAATCATTAGGGTTGGGAGGGACCTCTGGAGATCATCCAGTCCGACCACTGTGGCAAGGCAGGATCACCTAGAGCAGGTTACACAGGAAAGCTTCCAGGCGGGTTTTGAGCATCTCCAGAGAGGGAGAATCCATGACCTGCCTGGGCAGCCTGTTCCAGTGCTCCTTGCCATGCTCCCCGTGCAGCTGGCAGGGATGGGGGGCACACAGGCTGCCTCAGAACCCTTGGAGTGTGACATCCATCAAGGTGTGAGATGTGAGTGTCCTGGCTGCGGGCACCAGCCACGTGCGTGGGGACGAGGTGCCGCAGCTCAGGGGTGTCTAGCAGAGACCGGGCAAGGCCCAGACACAGGTTTAGGATCAGAAAGCTGCGTGAACATCAAAGGATGGAGCCATCAGGGGTTAGGGGAGGCAACCCGGGGGCACGGCGGGATGGCCCTTTGGGGCACATGGTAAGCGGTACCCCCGGGGAAACAGGAGGCGGCGGGCCAGTGGGGAGGACACGAAGTGTCCGCCGGGCACGGGGGGCGGAGCGGGGGGGCCGCGCGGGGCGCG